ATGGCCAGATCAGTATTTAGCAGACTTGGGGTTTTGTTTGGGCTCATCCCGTACCTACTTACAACTATCCTGACCACACAAAGTAAGCAACTTCATCCAAGTCCACTGGATAATCAGTAAGGTATATGGGTCCTTTGTCTCCCTTGTAATACTCTCCCTTGTAACTTCTCCACCTGCCCGCAGGAAGGTATATATCTCTTTCTTGCTTGCCTGGTTCAAGTACAGGTGCCACCAGAAGGTCATCTCCTATCAGGAACTGAGAGTCAATTTTGTAAGCTGCCTCATCATCTGTTGCAATCCACCAAAGAGGGCGAATGATGGGGTCCCCAGTGTACAGCACTTCCCCAGCAAGCTCCAGAACCCGAGGGGCTACAAGAGACTCATGGAGAGCAGTGAACTTCTTGGCGATATTCACTACCTCATCATCATAGTGCCATGGTGGAAGTGAGAACTGCATGGCTGGCATGAAAGCTGAGAGCTCTAGCCAACGGATGTACAGCTCACGATCTGGAAGGCCAGTGAGGTTAGAGGTTGTACTTCCGCCTATTATGTCTGGCAGAATAAACTGGTAGCCAAGAATACTTATAGTAAGTACAGTTGGGATTATAGATTTGAGGCCTAGGGTGTATCCCCATAGTGAGTCACGGTCTATAATTCTGAAGAAGCAGGAGATGTTTTGAGACTGATAGCCGGACCGCAGCTCTGCACGGTCATTGAACGGTAGTGCCATCTCAGTGTAGCGGCGAGTAAAAGTACTGGGATCCTGCAGAGGAACAAAGGTACTGAACTGCTGGGGTAAGTAGCTTGTTTCTCCTGCATCAAACTTAAAAGATACCACTCCATACTTGTTCTTGAGGGTGCGGAGATTCAAGGCATACCAGTCCCGAGCTTCTGGATTTGTGAAATCCAAAATGCCAGCGATACCGTTCCACCAACGCACCAATGCAGGCAGCTGGCTACTGGGCACTCGTACAAACAGTCCTTGTTCTACTCCAACACCAAAATTTACAGAATTATAGTTGACAAATGGATGAGTCCACAAGGTTACCTGGAATCCATCATCCCTAAGTTTTTGAAACATGGCTGAGGCGTTGGGAAACTTGATGGGATCTAACTCAAACTCCCCATAGCCACTAGTATATCTGTCGTACAGCTCCAGGTGACTGCAGTTGAAGCCATTTTTTTGAATATCAGATGCATATTTCAAAATTCTTTCTTCGTTGACTTCTTCTAGAGCTTTTGTAGACCACATTGGTTGTCTGAAAACAGCTTCTGAGGGAACCTTATTGGGCTTGTTGAAATATCGACGTACCATGTACTTGTGTATAGAGGTGATGTCATGCCCGACACATACACGATAGCTAAGTGTCACATGATGGGGATTACCGGGGTCTGGCCTATAAGGGCTGTCATCGTATCGAGCTTGGAACCACAGAGTTCTGTTCATTTCATCCCAGCCAAGGTGAAAAGGAACAGAATCATTAATTTTTATGGCCGTAGCATTGGAAGAAAGCCAGTAGCGCTCTAAGATGCCACCAAATGCCTGATAATTCGAATGGATATCGCCTGTAATGAAAGGTTTGGGCTCTTGCTGTCCTTTTAATACTATTGGCCAATGCTGCAACCAAGTCTCCGCACCACCGTACCAGTGTGATCCACTGCAGGACATGACATGCTCCACCAACCGATGTTCCTCCAGCTCATCCCAGCGCACACGATAGCACTCAACTGTGTCTTTAGGCTTTACCGTTTCTATGAAGAAATTTATATTTCCAGCTATGGATTTGTCACATCTGAGAATCTGTCCCTCTTTTGAACATGAGTCCAGATCAAGGGTTCCAGATCTAAAATGCACAATTAAAAACAATGTGACTTCTAATCATAATTATGTAATTACAAGTGTAAATAGGATATTTAAACAAAATACCTGAATGCCATTTTGAAAATGACAAACCCAGCTTGGTTTCGGATAACAAAACCATCTTTGTTAAGATCCAGTCGTTCAGTTGTCAGAAGGTTGGCCTTGTGGAGAGAAGCGGAGTAGTAGCACCATGCTACGATCGCAGCAAGAACCAGTATGACTCCAAGCACACTCGCTTTTATCACTGCGCGCCTTGGTCTACCAACTCTCTTCTGCTTAGGTGGTGAGTAATGGCTCATGGCACCAATGCCAAAATCTCCAACAGTTGATGATACGATCTGGTACATCTTCACAACACTCTTATGCACACAGCCTTCTGTAAAATCTTTTTAACTCATGAGCAGAAAGTAGACTGTTTTAGGTGTACTGCACATGGGCTGCACATGGTTGAAGTAGCAGCTGGCCAGGATGATTTCTGCCATGCCTAGACATATTGAGACAATTTAAAAGGAATAATATGTAAAAATAAGCAGAAAAAAATGCAATGTTTGAAAGTGATATAATATGACTCCCGAGATAAAACAACACCCAATATTAATTTTTCAATGGATAGTTAACCTAAAAAATGAAGATTCTATCATAATTTACTACTTAAGTCATTCCAAACCTGTATGACTAGTTTGGAAGTGCGTGAGGGTGAGTAAATGAGAATTTTCTCACAAAAACTACAATTCTTTATATCTGTGAGACACAAAAGCAGATTCAAGCTATTGCTGTTACACTACAGCAGCTGAACAGTCCTCTAGGCATGTATTGAACACAGAATTTCCAATACAGTGTTGTGATGTCCTGTAACAGGCACACTATTGATTAGATGGACATTTACAACAGAATAAAAGCAACTGCTATAATTTAGACACATGTGATTACAATTTTAGGGTTGTGTGATTGTGGAAAATATTAGTTTTAGCAATTTAGCAGATTCATCCTAATCCCCCTTAGCACAGAAAAGGAATATCACTTAGCAAGTGCTTTCTGACACAACACCTGACACAACACTGCTGCTTGATAACTAGCGATTAAGTCAAGCAGATGATAATACATCAAGTTCATTCCACAGTTTTTAAGGTGTTCACTTGAGAAAGCACAAAGACGATTAAGTTCTGTTTTATGGTATGACCCCTCACACATCTATGCAATAAGTAATACATTTTCACCAGTTACTTCCATTTTGTGTCTAGTTGAGATCATTCAGAAGGAAACACTACAATACAAATCTATGTGAATATTTTCCTTTCACTCAATTCCTATTTGTGTACAGCTCGCCAGCTAAACTTTTCAATAAATAATAAATAGACTTACTCTGATATCGACATTACGACTGCACATCGGTCAAAACGCTGTTGCTTGGAACGTTCATGAACACATAAGCAAGTTCGACCGGTTTGTGTGCATCATGGGTAATGTAGTATTGTAAGAGGTGGTGTAAATCTTTTATTTGATGAGAACATAAAAATGTAAGGAAAGCAAACAGGGTGGGGAGGGGGGGGGGGGGTCGGATTGAA